CCGTAAATTTCAACTAAAAAATCTTGAAAATTTCAATTTTCGAAATTTCGGGAATCTCAATACTGAAAAATATTTGGAAATAAGTGAAAATATTTCAATGAAAGAACTCACTACTGAAATAATTTATTTACATCCTACATCAAATTTACAGCATTCAGTTATTATACTGCTCTCTATAACATAAAAAAATAAAATAATAATAGGAATAACACACTCTAATGTGAATATAACATATACTTGTTCTACTTTAAATTAAATAATAGCAATAAATAATACTTTCAAAGGCTCAATATTTATTTTAGAAATAGTCACTGAAATGTTTTCGTTGATTATGAAATAATAAGAAACAATTATGCATTTTGAAAGAATTTCAAAAAGGAATCCATTCAAATCATTTTATACAAAAATCAAACATTATACTTTGTATTTGACATGCTCATAATAAATGTATGACCTAAATGCTTTGGTTTTTTTTTTCAAATGATATGTTCCAATATGTTAATAAAATTCTCAAATACATTTTTTGTAAGAGTCTTTAGGCCTTCAACTGAATTTGATGGTTTTCATCACAATTCATTGATATCAAATCCATTTCATATACCTACTAAATCACTGTAACTTAATTTGCTTTAAACTGCTCCACCTGACTTAGAAATATTGAAGAAAATTTAAAGATCTCATTCAATAATCGATCTGTTTTGATATTTATTTCAAGAACTCAAATATCTCTAATTCTTGTGAAGCAGTATATATTTCAACTATTTCCTTAGACTTGTCAATGATACTAGGGTCAATCGAATGAAAACAAACATTTTTCGAAGAAATCAACTGCATCCCTTCAGTCTTTGAAAATGTATTTCAAATTTTGAAATGTCTTCGTCATTGTCATGTGAAATAATATGAATGTCGTTGACAGTATAGGTTTGTTCTCGTTCGAAAAATGAAAAGTCCGAAACCATCGGGAGCATGCGCAGTTTCACAAAACAGTTGGCATTTTTCGTGTTCCGTGGAACTTTGCATGCTTCTGATGGTTTCAGACTGTTCATTTTTCGAACAAGAACAAACAAAACATCAGAACATTCACAACTCGTATAGGAAGGGCCACTATGAATTGAAACCCCTTTTAAATCTCGAATTCATGGTAATATGAAAACAATAAATATTAGTCAACAACCTCTTACGAAACAATGAAATTTTTTTGTGTGTAAAGTGTTTCCCCATTTCAAATTTCTTTTTCATTTCCTGTATCAGAAAATCCATAAATCGATAGTATGTTGTTTCTCAACATTAAGGCAAAGCAAGCAGGGATAATAAAATACTATAACATTTGAATTTTTCTCTGAAAAATCATGTCGGAATTTGACAGAAAAGATGAGCTGTATTTTGTAAAATAATTATATATTTTGTACTGTAGCAATTCCGTTCAAAATACACTATGAAGAGCTTGGCAGTTCCATGAATGATATTAAATAATATAAGTAAAAGACACCAGTGCCTCTGTAAATTATCTGTATAAAATTAACATACCGGGTGTGTTCCAGAACCGAGCCATCTTTGTACCTTCTGAATCGACGTCAAATGTTCCTTTTTTGACAGGACACGAACACGGAAAGTATTTTGTTTACTTTTTTACTGTTGAGTTTATAATGACTTCATTTTTTCGAAAAGCTTAGGACAAATATAAAGGGTACTATTAACAAAAACAATAAAACATTTGGAAAAATCAACTAGATGTTATTTTTAGTGCGCAAAACTAACGATATTGTCCCGTGACTACGCCCCTGGAAATACAGAGTGGACACTGAGAGATCCGAAAGTTACCTCATCAAATTTTCAACAAACAACTTTCTATGCACAGGGTATCCCAAATTCGATAAGAGGTACAAAGTCGGTTAAATTAGGGCAACATTGCACAACTTTATGCTCAAAAGTTTGGAAATTCCAAATACTTCCGAAGATATATCGACCAACCAGATTCGTGTTGTCATTTGTTACAAACACTACTCGAAAAAATTCTAATGTAATAAAAATTTTATGAATATTTTTTTTTCTTGATTCACTGGTATATTTTGTATGCTACTCAAAAACCTGTCATTCTCCAGTTATACAGATCACAGTCTAAATGAATTATTCAAAGTCCAGAGAAATTATTTTTTTCTCACCAATATGGGATGTGATGTAGCGAGATCAAAAGCTAAATGCATCCTTGAAAAGGTCACTATAAATTCAAAGTTCAACTCTGCTCAAGTCTCCTATATTCTCAACTTCATCCAATAAATTACCACTTCAAACCTCCTATTTGTTTTTTTTTTCAATAAGTACGCTTTCTACATAATTTCCATTGCAAAAAAAATCTTACTAGCATAACTACCCCAGCTACGCTGTTCATATTTATATCGGTGACCCACATCCAACGTATCATCTTTATTATTTTTGCTGAATATTATTTGATACGAAAAAAAATATACAGGGTGAGTGAAATATTCGGCTACTACTATCTAATCGAATGACTCATTCAGTATCAAAAAAATCCAGGACTGTTCTCGAAAAATTTCGCTAGTTTAATGTATATCGAACAGTTCATCCTGTATATGGATTTTGTAAACTGTGACAGGGAATATTCAAAGGTCACAAACAAACATCAAAAATAAAACAGTCACATTTTTTTTCACACTTGCACACAATTTTTTGTTACACAATAGATTTCAAGAAAAACAAGAAATGTTTTGGAAGAATACAGGGTAGTTTATAAATGAACCACCCTGTATTCGTTCAAATTAAATATCAGTAGATAGTAAATCAAAAGTTGAGATAGGGACACGTAAGCCGTTAAGACCAATAATAAATAGTTTCGAGCCAAAAAAATCCTAAAGTTGGAAAATCTCGATTTTGATCACTCTATATCTCTGTAATCATTCTTGCTAGACCCCAAGTGTGGCGCATTGATGAAATCAGGTCACAAAGGAGTATCCAAAAATGCAATGAAATATAGGGTGTCCCTTAAAAAAAAAAGTATAACTTTGATACGTCACGCATTTTTGAGTCACCCTGTATAACGGGAAATATTTTGGAAATGTGCTGCTCATGAGCCTAGACCATCACAAAAAATTTTGTTGGTCTATCTCAAACAGCAAAGCCGTTATCTCACTTTCCGATTTCAATGCCTTACCCTGTATATCATTTCCTTATCAGAAGACGGTCGAAATTTGCAGCCGACTCTCAGGAGACTATGAGGAGACATTGTTTATAAATGAATGCATAGAAGTATTGAAGGAGAATCCGAAAATGCAATGATATACAGGGTGTCTCATAAGAAAAAGTATATAGCTTTAATGAGTCACGCATTTTTGAGTGACCCTGTATAACAAGAAATATTTTGGAAATGTGCTGCTCATGAGCCTAGACCATCACAAAAATTTTTGTTCGTCTATCTCAAACAGCAAAGCCGTTATCTCACTTTCCCATTCCAATGCCTCGCCCTGTATATCATTTCCTTATCAGAAGACGGTCGAAATTTGCAGCCGACTCTCAGGAGACTATGAGGAGACATTGTTTTTAAATGAATGAATAGAAGTATTGAAGGAGAATCCGAAAATGCAATGATGTACAGGGTGTCTCATAAGAAAAAGTGCAACTTTGATACGTCACGCATTTTTGAGTGACCCTGTATAACGCGAAATATTTTGGAAATGTGCTGCTCATGAGCCTAGACCATCACAAAAATTTTTGTTCGTCTATCTCAAACAGCAAAGCCGTTATCTCACTTTCCCATTTCAATGACTTACCCTGTATATCATTTCCTTATCAGAAGACGGTCGAAATTTGCAGCCGACTCTCAGGAGACTATGAGGAGACATTGTTTATTAATGAATGAATAGAAGTATTGAAGGAGAATCCGAAAATGCAATGATATACAGGGTGTCTCATAAGAAAAAGTATAACTTTAATACGTCACGCATTTTTGAGTGACCCTGTATAACGCGAAATATTTTGGAAATGTGCTGCTCATGAGCCTGTACCAACACAAAAATTTTTGTTCGTCTATCTCAAACAGCGAAGCCGTTATCTCACTTTCCTATTTCGATGCCTCACCCTGTATATCATTTCCTTATCAGAAGACGGTCGAAATTTGCAGCCGAATCTCAGGAGACTATGAGGAGACATTGTTTATTAATGAATGAATAGAAGTATTGAAGAAGAATCCGAAAATCCACTGATATACAGGGTGTCTCATAAGAAAAAGTATAACTTTAATACGTCACGCATTTTTGAGTGACCCTGTATAACGCGAAATATTTTGGAAATGTGCTGCTCATGAGCCTAGACCAGCACAAAAATTTTTGTTTGTCTGTCTCAAACAGCTAAGCCTTTCCATTTCGATGCCTCACCCTGTATATCATTTCCTTATCAGAAGACGGTCGAAATTCGCGGCCGACTCTTAGGAGACTATGAGGAGACAATGATGGAAGTAAGATATGGTGCGCGTATTAGGCCATTATTACGTATTGAAAATTTCAGAAAAATCACTCGACGTGGATTCTTCATTTTCCCACTAGATGGTGATGCTGCTGTTGCTGCTGTGGTGAGTGAAAATAAGATGGCAAATGGCATCTTAGGTACGCGGAACATATTCAACATTGGGATTATTCAACTCTGAAATCGAAAAATCTGCGACAATTTCAAAACTGACAGATGTCATAATTGTGCAATGTCGCCATCTATTAGAAGATCGACGGAACCATTACTCTCGCTGTTCTCGAGAGGTCGAGTGAAAATTCTGAAACAAAAGCGCATCAGTAATTACACCATATCTTACTTCCATCATTGAGGAGACATTGTTCATAAATGAATGAAAAGAAGTATTGAGAAGGTTGATCTAGAGGCACGCTACTAAAAACAAAGAAGCAGAACAGGCCAGCTCGTTTCACTGAAGGTCTGGGCCACCGAATACAAACATTGGTGCGCTACAATTTCCCCACCTAAACCGGCACACTAAACTCCTAGCACTCGGCCAATTGGAGCCAAGGATGGTCGATGACGTCCTCGGCCGAGAACCTCAAATCCGGATCGAGCTGGAGCATGTTCTGGATGAGTTCTTTGGCGAACGGCGATACGTCCTGCCAAGACTCGTCCGCGAAATCGTAGTGGCCGGAGAGGATGCAGTCGAACAGCTTCTCCTGATCGTTGTCTTGGCTGACGAAGGGAGGATAACCGCAGAGGAGGATGTAGAGGATCACTCCTGCCGCCCAAACGTCGATCTGGAAGGGTGGGTTTGTGTAAAAGTACCTATTTTCATTTTGTATTTTTTTTTTATTTTTTTTTTTTATGTGCTGGTTCCCACGAAAAGGGATATCCTGTAATGTTCAGAGAACATCGTGAGAACCAAGGAAAATAAGGTAAGAATTGGTGTTCTTCTTGAATTTCTGGAGGTTATATGCCTCGGGAAACACCTCCCTTTTGGCAATGTGTTCCAGAGCCTCGCTGTTCGTTGGATGAACGAGTCTTTGGAAAGAGATGGTCTGCAAAGTGACCACGAAGGGGCGCGAAGCCTCAACTCGACGGGTTAATCTCGCGGGGACTGCCAAGGGAGGAACAATAGTTGATATTTCAGAAGAGCCCAAGAAAATATCTATGAAATAGAGCCAGATCGCCAAGTTTTCTACGGTTTTCCAGAAAAGTGAGTGAGTTTGTGGGCGAGGCATCACCCACGAGACGAATTGCCCTTTTTTGGACAGAATCCAACAGTTTCAGGGTATGTTTGGGTGCTGCACTCCAAATATGGGAACAGTATTCCAGGACAGGTCGGATCTGTGCCTTATAGATCATAAGCAGCTGACTGGATGTGAAATAGCTCCTGGCCCGAAACAGAAAACCAAGTTTTTGGGATGCACTTTTAGCAATTGATCTCACGTGATTTTCCCAAGTAAGGTTATTGCTGATAGTAATACCAAGCATCGAAATGGATGTCTTCAAAGGCGTGGTTACTCCTGACGAGCTCATGTTGAGCACAGTGAGACAAAAGGCATGCTTGTGTTTTGTTTGCATTGAAATCTACTTCAGAGGTAAGAACCAACTCCACAGAAGTCGAAACTTGTGCGAGGTTAGGAACAGCGAAACCTACAGCTTATAATGAATTTTGAACAACTTCTAGGTAGCCGAGGTGCTGCCTGGCTTACAACCAAGAATCACAATTTATTTAAGGAAAACCAAGAGCACCTCTGTATCGTAAACGACTATATAGTGAATGTGAAAGCCTTAGACAGCTCGGATACCGTGGCCGTCCCGTCCATGGTTATCGGCTCTGAAATGGTTTGGGACTGCCGGGAGAAACTAAACGAGCTAACCAACAGAAATAAAGTAACCCTTCTGTGGGTTCCGGGACATTCAGGAGTAGAACGAAATGGAGTAGCGGACAAACTCTTTGAGAAAGGAGCTCAGGAAATTAAAAAAAGATCAGACATCTGGAGAAGCAACGACTCGTTCGCGAAATCGTAGTGGCCGTAGAGGATGCAGTCAAACAGCTTCTCCTGATCGTTGTCTTGGCTGACGAAGGAGGGATAACCGCAGAGTAGGATGTGAAGGATCACTCCTGCCGCCCAAACGTCGATCTAAAAAAGGTGGCATTGTGTTAGAATCAGAAGGGAAGGAGAACAAGCTGAACAGCAAAAAATTAAGTTACTATTAACTTTGATGAAATGCAGAAATATTACAGAAGCTGGGAATATACCCCTAGGACCCATCGATGGATGTAGAGAGCAATAGTGAGATCTGTTTTCACATATGGAGCGGTGGTCTGAGGAGGAGAGAAAAATCATCATTAGTATGTATTACCTGTGTAATGAGAATGAGGCACACTCCCTCCTCTACATTTAGTTGTGGAAAATGCGGCAAAGAAAACGACATACAAAATTATTAGAGAAGGAATGATCAAAGGCAGGCCACTCTACCCACCACCCAAAAAATGTAGGATCTACTTCAGGATGAGATAATAAACCACAAGGCTGATCTGCAAAACAGAATGGAACAGGGGATCCATTGGAATATAGCTAAAAGAAGAAGCCATAAACTGGTACACAGATGACTCCAACACCGCAAAAATACAGGAACACGCTGATTTTCATAACTTCAGAGACATAATATCGTCCTGATTTCATAAGCAGTTATTGTAGATATATTGATCAATCTTTCATTGGTTGAAGGATATGTTGAAAAGTATGTCCTCACTCTTTGAACCTTTGAAAGTTCGTTTAGAATTTGGTACTGCACTTCATTGGCTGCTGGCCTCAACCGAGTGCATCTGATCTAACATGGCAACACTTTGTACGACTAACCGCGATTTATAGTTTCCGGAAAACATACATCACTATCACTATTGAAAAACAAACGGAAGTCGTAATCCTTCTAGAGGAACTTTCGGGTTTTCAACAGCCATCCAAGACTACAAAATTTCAAAAACTCACCTTGAGACCATAACCGGATTCAGCAAGTATTTCAGGTGCCACGTAAGTCGGCGTACCACACACCGTATACAGAGGCTTAGTGACTTCGCAAGCCAATCCAAAGTCGCCTAATTTCAATATTTTCACCCTATTATCTTCTAATTCAACCTGAAATCGTGAATAACACGTGAGTTTATGATGATTATTTCGTGGCGGATAAACTTACCAGCAAATTTTCCGGTTTGACGTCTCGATGTACGATATTGAGGTTATGTAAATAGGCTAGTGCTGACACTAAATGATTGATCATCAGGGAAGCTTGTTCCTCCGAGAATTTTTGAGCAACTGTGATGGTGTCGAATAAATCTCCACCTACAGAAATGAATGACGAATCATTAAGGTATGTTCATAGTCCAATAAATAAAGGGAAAAAGTTAACATTAATTACGCACTATTTTCATCTTCCGGTTGGAAGTAGCTTTTGGTACCTCATTAAACATGAGACAAAGTTTGACTGGAAAACGCGTGCGATGGCGGAGAAAATGGTCCCAAAAGACCAGAAAAATAGGTTTTCAGCCAATATCTCCTAAAATATGGCAGTTAGAGATTTTCGGTTCAGATAAAAATTGAAGTTCAGTTAATTTTCGACAAAAATGGTCCTTATCATTTTTCTCGAAAATTTGCTCGGTTTCGAGAAAAACGGCACGAAGCGCACCTCGACTAATGAGCTTCTGTTGTATGCCGGAGAGCACAGTCCGTGTATTTACACATCGGCGGGGGGACAAATTATTCAATAACTTTGTTAAAAATGCATATTTTCTCATGATTCAAAGTTCATGTGAAACAGGAATTCTGCTGCTATCATACCCTGTGAATTGAGTCACGCTTGACTCTTTTGGCCATATCGGAACATGGGTCAAACTTTCTGCTCCCGGTCAATTTTGACCTCGCCAGGAATTTGTTCCTATTTTTTTTGTATTGCACTTATTTACTCAAAATTTTCTTGATTATGGGTCCTCATAAGGTCCTTTGTCATCCCTGAAATTTGTATACCCTAATTTTTTTTAATTTTTATTCAATCTTTGTTTATTGAATCCCAATTTTTTGCTGTTTTTGGAGCGCGGGGAAATATTGTGAAAACCATCAATTAAAAATTTATACATGATCCGATTGGTTTCTGTGATACATCATTTGAAAGCTGAGAAGGTCTACTTTTCGATTGTGTAATTACTTTTTTAGACGAAGTCGTCCATTTTTCAACAAAATTAGAAAAAGCGGGGTCAAGAAAAAAACGCACTTTTTTTTCGGTGGTTTTTTTCTCCGTGCTCTTTAATTCTAACATTTTAACACCTTAACTAGTGTAACGGGGGGATTCTCACCTTTCCATCGATGTATATAAGTCATACCTTTGATATCCCGGGAAAAAACCAGTATATCTAAAGGTACACGCTATAATTTATTACTTTCGTTCCTCCGTCGTTCGCCGCGTGTGTGCTCTACGTGGCGCTCGGGTCGTCTGCTACAAACCATGCGGCCACGCAGGATATGATAGCAGCAGAATTCCTCTTTCACATGAACTTTGAATCATGAGAAAATATGCATTTTTAACAAAGTTATTGAATAATTTGTCCCCCCGCCGATGTGTAAATACACGGACTGTGCTCTCCGGCATACAACACAGAAGCTCATTATTCGAGGTGCGTTTCGTGCCGTTTTTCTCGAAACCGGGCAAATTTTCGAGAAAAATGATGAGGACCATTTTTGTAGAAAATTAACTGAACTTCAATTTTTATCTGAACCGAAAATCTCTAATTGCCATATTTTAGGAGATATTGGCTGAAAACCTATTTTCCTGGTCTTTTGGGGCCATTTTCTCCGCCATCGCACGCGTTTTCCAGTCAAACTTTGTCTCATATTTAATGAGTTACCAAAAGCTACTTCCAACCGGAAGATGAAAATAGTGCGTAATTAACGTTAACTTTGCCTTTTTTGCCTCCTTCATTTATTGGACTATCATGCTTGTACGAATTCCGCAAAATTTATGCGAATAAAATGGCGACTGCGAATATCGCAATGAAGTTGAAATATTTGACCTTTTTTGCGAATTCAGATGGAATCATAACCACATAGACGAGACTAGACACTAGACTACAGGTAAGTACAAAATTATAATTACAAATTTCATCATTTCTTCATTTGATTAAATTTTCTTCGCAGGATGGATTCACTGGACGAATTAATTTTAAAGTATCATCTGTATCGTCTCTATAGAACTAATGATGTATCCAGAAGCATAAAAAGGAGCTGTACTGTTCGAAGCATTTTTAAATGCCGAAAAATGAATGGAGATTAGTACAGCCTCGTTCGATAAATGCGAAAGAATGACCCTAATAAATATTCCAATTTCTATCGTGTAACGTGCCTAAGATGGCTACAAGGGATAACGTGCCTTCAATTTGATGAACTTCTATGAATGGTGGGACCAGAAATAAAGAAATTAATATGGGTGAAAGAGTCACTTATGTTCTTCCCTGTATTATGATCAAGTCATCAGCTTTTCTTGGGACCATATTCAGGCTAACATTTCGAAACATGTATATACGATTTGGTCGAAATTTCACCGAAATCGGACCAGAATTAAAAAAGTTACAGGGCGGAACAATTTGGCAAAATATTTTGGTGGCCGGTTAATATAAAGTACACAACATTATAACTGAAATAATGCCATACCTGTTACATATTCACAAACTAGATACAGCATGTTTTTAGTATCTGCCTCAGCTATGAGAGACATAATGTTAGAATGATTTACTTTCCTAAGTATTTTTATTTCATTTTCAATCATATCTTCCTGAAAAATAAAATAAAACAATAATTATTCAAGTGATCAACAATTAGACATTCAAGAAACGAACCTTTCCCTTACACTTTGATTTATCTATAATTTTCAAAGCATAGTCCTGATTCGTTGAAACATCTTTACACAATCTCACTACCGCAAAATTACCTGGAGCACAAAATCTGCAATTGAAACATCTATTTAAAGAAAACGATATTGTCAACTCACCATCTCCTATTGTTCTTCCAACAACGTATTTGCCCTTCAAGGGCACAGGGAGAATCAAATTGTTATCTTCACTTAATTTCTTCAATAGGCTTTCCTCCGATTCATAAGTTCTATTCAATTCTTTTTTAGGCATTTTTGGTTTCGGACCAGCTCTATAAGAAATCTTATTAGTATTACCCTGCTTGCCGGTTCTGGTATCATTTTATACAGGGTGTTACAAATTCGAGAAAGAAGGAATTTTCGTCGGAATTTTCGAAAAATCCTACATTCGAGGAAAAGTGCCAATAATATGGATGTTCATTTTCTGTAACCAACTCGAAACAAATTTTTTCAATAATCATCTCTTAAAGTTGACGTTTTTTACTGACACAATAAAATGAAAGATATGTATATTGCTAGGCAACACTTTTAGTGTCTAGGAGCAAAAGTTGACTCAACCAGCATTTTCAGTCACAGCTAGGGCTCAGGAAACTAAGTGATAGTCATTTAGTAAAATGGACGGAGATTTTGAAATAAGATGGGAAACTTCAGAAATATCAGTTATTCAATAATTCATAAATTCTCAATTGAACATTATAGGGATTCCCTTTCGTGCGCTCCAAGCGATCAAAAAAAAAATTAGCAATAAATATTCAATTGTCTCAAAATGTTCCTCTCTGATTTGTGGCTTATTGCTTATGAATAAGTTGATATAGTGATACAGAATTCTGACGTACTCAAGTGAGATAAAATGCTGGCTACTTGAATTGAAATTTAGATATAAACTATTTTTAGTTGCAGAAAAAATAACAAATTTTGCGAACTCGGCTTTGCTATCAACAATGTACTTTTCACATCACCTTTTTAATGGAGCTAGGAAAAAATTACCCATATACTAATGGTTTCCGAGAACTCGAAGAAATGTAACACCCTGTATATTTTGCGACAAATTCTCACCCATTTCTGAGGCCGGGAGTCTTTTTGTATGATTGTATTGCTTTGCTTTCTTCGAATTCCAATTCGAAATCGTTCTGAGATGATTTTTCATTACCGTAAATGAAAAAGACATCGTCCGTTTCGAAAAGTTGAGACAGATCATTGACAGACTGACCTGACAATGTGAAAACTTTCCTCACCGCCAACTGAGCTGTTTCTGAGAATGCACTCAGAAGCTGTTCCATACTGGAAGAATTCCTTTTATTCAGAAGCAGCCGCAATATCTAAAATAATAATGAATTTTGTCACAAAAACACCAACTTTTTTTCAATTTGTTTGTTTCACATGGTCGAACATGATAAATACTAGACGATCACATAAAATATGGTTAAAGTCCCATATTTAGACAACACCCGGGTCCCGGGTGGGTTTAGTTACAATAATAAATGCTTTCTATGCTACGTGAACGTGAAATAGTCTAGCAAAATACCGCTTCAGTAGTTAGTCCGTCTCTATAGCCCAGAACCTCCCCTCTACCTATCTCCAAACCACGTGACCCGTCTAGCTAATCAGAGGCCAGCATTTGGTTGGAGGTCACGCGCACTAACCGCATCACGAAACACCACGGAAATGTCACGGAACACCACGAAACTGTCACGGAAACGTCACAAAACACTACGGAAACGTCACGGAATACCACGGAAATGTCACGTAACACCACGGAAATGTTACCATGGTGTTCTGTGACGTTTCCGTGGTGTTCCGTGACGTGTTCGAGGAATTCCGTGACGTTTTCGTGATATTTCCGTGGTAATCCGTGACATTTACTTAGTGTTCCGTGACGTTTCCGTAGTACTGGTACTGGTACTGGTGGGGGACGTTTCCACGTCAGCAACTAGTCCCCAATGGGATCTTTTTGCCAACCCCAAGTGTTTTCAATGACTGATGTGGTTCGCTTAAGAGAGCTGGCTAACATCCTTTTCAGGCACCGCCCATCAGCTCTCTTTCAGAGTTTTTCAGCTGTGTTTTGTAGGCTAGTAATGTACTCACTACCATATGCGCAGTGGCAGGCCTGCTAACTATCATCGTTAACCCCCGAGACCGAGGTCTACTTAAGCAGCTGGCCCGCTCTCACGCTCAGCTGGTAGTTTTTCCACACCCACCTACATACACCGTCCTACTTCTTCTCTGACGCTCACAATCACATCATCATATCTTTCTGCGTGTTCTGTGTAGGCTTTGTTACTAACTCCATGCGCCACTTTAGGAGCAGCACTGTTAATTGGAACGCAACAGCGAATCGTGCAGGACTATCCCCAGCCGATGCTCCGAAACTTTACAATATTTAATTCGTAAATAAAATATTCAAAAAAGTTCCTTGCCCGTGCTGGAAATCGAACCCACGACCTTCCGTAGTGTTCCGTGATGCGGTAAGTGGGCGTGACCTCCAACCAAATGCTGGCCTCTGATTGGCTATTCGTGTTACGTGGTTTGGAGAAAGGTGAAGGGGAGGGGCTGGGCTATAGAGATGAACCAACTACTCGTTCTGGTCTGAATATCTTCTCGTAATTATGTATTTCATTGTTAACTCAATTGTGTTGCCCTACAGCAACACACTTTCGAGAACAGTGGAGCAACAGAAATATCTCGAATATTCAGATCATCGTGATATTACTCATGACAACACGGACCTTTCGCGGCTTGATCCCGTTCCTGATGATCGTCACGATCCGCGGGCGGACGCAATCGGGCGGCACCACCTTCGGCGCGTGCTGGTAGTTCGAATGGTGGACGGTGAACTTGCTCGCGTTCGACGGCCGCTTCGGCCGCGCCGCGTCCGTCTTGGTGTACTCGATCCGCTTGAAGGGCTCGCCCTTGCCGCCCACCACGTACTCCTTGCCGTCCTCGAGGTCGTCGATGCTGCACACCTGAGGAACAAAGTTGATATGTCATTGTAGACCAGGCTGGAGCCTTTGAAAATGGTAGAAAAGTGGGAAGAAATATGGTAGGATGAGACCCACTGGAGAAGGGAGAAAGAATAACAAAAAGGACAGGAAATAGTGTATTGTTTAACGAGCACGGAATGATAGTGATTTCCTACGAGAATGAAGTTTGCAGCGGGAAGAAATATGGTAGGATGAGACCCACTGGAGAAGGGAGAAAGAATAACAAAAAGGGCAGAAAATAGTATATTGTTTAACGAGCACGGAATGATAGTGATTTCCTACGAGAATGAAGTTTGCAGCATGAGCCATAGGTGAATGCTGCGATCATTCGAATAGGAAATTAGCATCCCGTGCAAGTTATACAATATAGTTTTTCTACGGGTATAATAGATAACAGCGGCATTTTCGATTTCTTCGTCTGATTTCCTGTTAAGTAATGCTCATCTATTATACAGGTCATTACTTGAAATTTGACATTCCTTGGGCGATGAGTGCTTTTTGAAATAATAACACAATGGAGTCATTATGATATCTGATACGGAAATAAAATTGATGACATACAAAATACCTCATTGATGTATCGAACACAGTAAAACAAGAGTAATCTCGTGTTATAGCCGCGTAGAAAATATTTATTTACAAGTGCGGAAAGTAGTACTTTTCCGCATGCGACGGCAGTTGAACGAGCGACGCAGAGTGGAGTTCGGGCAAGTCGTCAAGGGCGGAAAAGTTCGTCCATATTATTTATGAAAAACAGTAGTAGACTTCAGCTCCAGGTTGTGTTGTCTCCCGACGCGTAGCGGAGGGAGACAAAAAACCGTGAGCTAAAATCTTATATTTTCCCGTGTATAATACACTATTTTTTTCTGTGACAGAAGAAAGGACGAATCAATATTGAGAAGATATTACATTATTTTGAAATCTGAAAATTATCGACAAGAAAGTTTTTAACAGTAGGGACACCTGCGTTGCAGGCATCTTTATCATTCTTTTGAAGTGATCAAATATCAGATGTCACTTCTGTCAGTCTGATTCTGTGATTTGATTCCAAAAAATTGCGAATTTAATGGTTGTTTAGTAATATTCGTAACCGCGAAGTGGAAGATGAAAGGACTTGCAGTTCTTTCTCGGAGACGGTATTATTGACTCATTTTTCGGAACTATAGCATAACAAAAGCCATCAACAGTGTATATATATATGATATAAAAAAAATATGTTTGTCCCACTTCAACCTGTCATCAAACCTAATACCAAGATATTTTATTTGGTCAGTTTGTTTCAAGGGTTCATTTTTTATTTTAAGGTTGAGGTAAATTTTTTGTTTATTTTTTTGGTGAAAAATCATATATTCTGTTTTGTTAGCATTTATCGATAAAAGGTTAGAGTGGAGCCATTTTTCAAATATTTTCAAGTCTTCATTTATCATATTCTCTAAATTTGAAGGATTCTTGCCCTCATATAAAAGTACTGTATCATCTGCATACACGGTATATTTACTCGTGAGACAAATTTCACTGATATTTTGAACATAAAGTAAATATAGTATAGGTCCTAAAACAGAGCCCTGTGGGACACCCTTATTGATTAATAGTTTATTTGGCACATTAGAGATTTCATTCATTTATCCGGATTATAGGCGTTTACTTTTCATTGATTTATAAATGAATCGCAGGGACTATCTATCGCTGATTAGTCTGAGGATGATATTATGACGAGACTATACATTTTTCGGAATAGATTCACGCGCTATTCTCGAAATGGCGGTATCGCTCGGGTGGAAATTGTCAGAAGATTTGGCGAAGGTTCTGGGAATAGTAGGAGAGCCGCCTGTAAATTTCGACCGTCATCTTATAACCATAGATTAACGACTCCCTAGATATACACCGCCCATGCATTCAGACGGTAACGCTTATTTGGGATTTAGTTGGGACCCCGATTTTTCACCATCTATCGCCGCTATTGCGAATTTCCGCGCGTGGTCGCAAATTCGATTCTTTACAGATATCTGTAACATGGCATTCAGCGTATAGAAGCGGAGTTGTCAAATGTTAGTTTTTGTTGGATTTCTAATATATTGGTAGGTACAGTCGTATTCAATAAAAAAGCGTACAAGTATTAAAAAGAGAGAATTTCGGGATCCTAGTTCTAGTTGTGTAAAACTGGCTCAGCCAATGCTTTGTGTTTCCGAGAACCTATGACAACTTTACTGTCAACATTTGGTGAACAATCATTCTCGAAAGCCCGTTTTATGCAGAATAGGATGACCTTCATTTCTCTCTGTAATATACTTGTACGCTTTTTTTTTTGAATGCGACTGTACATGTAGATTATTATTAATCTACGATAGATGAAGGAAACTGAAATCACACCACCTGGATTCATTTGATGGAGAATATAATGAGCAATAAAGTTGAACAACTAGAAATAAAAATCATATTTGTATGGAAAAATCATCGTAAATAAAAAATTTGTCCAAAGATTCAACGGAAAAATGAGGAATGTCCAAATAAATTGTCAAAAAACTGGATTGTTTACTCGTGTAGTGTCTCTACATAACTGTTATTATGACCCTGTAGATATTTGGAATGATGACAAGAAAAGTCATCGACTCAGTAACATCTCATAATGTTTCAAAATTTACTCTTATATTGTCCATGTCATTTGGTTTTTATCATTTGTCACTGTCATCTGTCTTGTATTCTGTCAACGTATGTTGCTATATGCTTGACGCTTCGCCTTCTCCTTGGCTTTTATCTCTCACAAAAATGGCCATTTGAAGATGAAACTCCTTGAGTGAATGAATTAATATAATTTTCCCAAGTTTGTGCCAATGTTGAACCTTATAGTTGGGTTCTTTTGGCTGTTTAGTCGGTTCAAAAACTTTAGCATTCCTTCACCGGACTGATTTTTGGCCAAATGACCACGGCTCTTTAATTTTTATAATAACTTATTTTCCTTGTAAATTAAATATCTTTACAGGTACTGTGTACTGATGTGTCTAAAGATGGCTGTTTGAGCCGAAACTAGTCACAAACAATACAATTTGTGTAATAAAATGTTGTGGTCGACCGACTTGGTGTTATTTTGTTTTTTTTTCTGGACCACTTTGGATGGTTTCGGATGGTTTCCATGACTTTTAATTGAGTCATTTGGCAAAGTATCTCAAATTCTGATTTTTATGAGATACTTCATTACGTGAGATGACCCACGTAGTGTAAAAGAGCACAAAACATGTATATAGGTACAATGAGGATTATAGGTAGGTATCATATCAATATCGGATGATAGTAAAATCGACTAGTCCACATTGACATGCAAACCTCGTGATAGTGCTCTGAAAATAGAGGTTGTAATTGAATGTATCCAGGTTACCTAATTCATAATCTCGAAAAAGCTGCGCATTTCATGGTTCTTTTATTTGATGTGGATTACACATTTATTCGACTCCATTCTTCCTTGAAAAAAATGGAAAAATAATTTCCGTTTCGCGACATTCGTTGATCAGCAGTTTATATTTTTTGGTAAAGGTCATGTGATGGGTTTTTTCTTGAAATTTTCTTCTTGGTACTCTGAAAACACGAATTTTACAATGAAAATGTGAACAAACCGCTATTTATCGAGATATTTTACGAAAAAGTTTGAAATTTCTTCTTCTTTTGCCACCTATCTTGAATATTCATTTACAACTATTTGTCCTTCTTTTCCATCAATGGACACTTTATATACTATATAAACCATACTTCTTGTTGATTTTTGTAAATAAAATGTGTAATTGAAGTACAAAGTGAGTATATAAATCCACCAGTAGTACAGCGTCTTCAGAGATCATGTCGCGGTTGGACGGTGTCAGCACTCTTATTGCAGGAGTCATTAAGAATGCTATCATCGTCCATGTGCGACATGTTTTCTGATGACGACTGTACATCATGAGTATATGAAGTGTCCAATGACAAAATGAGAAGAGCAAGTAGCTGTAAATGCATCCAACACAGGGAAAGAAGGCGAAATTTTGAACTTTTTCTTGAAATATCTCGATAAATAGTGGTTTGTCCAATTTATCAATATAAAATTCGTGTTTTTCAGAAGAAGTACGTAGGTACAAAAAAAAAATCGAAAAAAAAAACCATCGCATGATAATGCAGTTTTACCAAAGTTTTTTTAGCTGTTTTATCTATCTATATTTGTTCAATCCAATCTAAAATAATCAATACATATATCAAATTTGTCGAAGCCTAGCAAGATAAGAAAAGAGACGTATTTCAAATAGAAAAGTATTGAATTTGTAGATGAATAGTGGCGTGACATATAAACAAAATCGAATACCATTATGAAAAGTATATTGCATTGTATATGTTACCGGAAAAACCGATTTTAGGATATATACTAGTTTTTCCTCGGCTAAACCAGTATATCCGAAAAGCGATAGGATGAACTCGTTTGTCCTAGTCAAAACTGTTTTTCCCTGAAATAAATCAATAACAAGTCAAGCTGATTGATAAAAAATTTAATGACTATACGTTCCTGAATGATCTACTCATTGAGGTGTATGTTCCTTCCTCACAAAATATTAACAAAAAATCGATAACAAGTCAAGTACTCCAAACTCTAGATTCATAAACAAGACAAAAAGTTTCAAAATGTCTAGCTTATGTGTTGTTTATGGATCTAAAGTTCGGAGTCCTTGACTTGTTATCGATTTTTTTATTATTACACTATAGTTGGTTAAATAACTATAATTCCACAACTAGCGAGTCTTTGGAAAAGAGTTTATGAAAACTATTTTCTTTTTTTTTTCAAGGAATCTACTATTCACAATATGTCCTCTCAATTTATTTTCATAATTCGAATAGGAAGAAAACAAAACGATCGCAATAACAAAAATGCGATGATGAAAGTGTCTTTCATTCCAACAGCACTGGCGTGTCGTTCACCTACTTTTTTTTCATCGCCAACGTGATTCCGCTAATAACAATTATTGTTCCGCGTTTCGCCTGATTACATTTTTCATGTAACTGGACCTGCATCCAAGAAAAACAAACGAATAAAATAACTTCCGTTATTGTATAAAAAATTACGAATGTCAGGAGACATTACAAACTTCCCTTATGCAAAACCAGACGAATACCTATATATCAGAGCACAAACTTGCAATTTCGACTTTTCAAATAAACTGCTCAACACATGAAACAAATTCGAATCATCATAACTTTCGATTTCCCCAACTGATTTTCAATCATTTTTCAGTTTCTGAAAGCTCGTTTCTTTGACTATCGAACCTATGGATATGACTTTTTCAGCTTTTCCGGATAAGATTCTACAGGATGATAATCAAAGCTGTGCATTTTTCCAAAAATTTCAACTCCCCCGTTTGAAAGAAAAAATTTCCTATTTTTATTGGGGTCAAAAACATATTGCTTCATATATTTTCTCAATACTGTAAACAAATTTTTGGAATTGTCACACGCATTACTGAAATATGAATGTTTTATCAATATAATGCATAATTTGATGCTCTAATTTCTATTGGCTTTGTGTTCCTGTCAATTTGGTTCGAACGGCGGTCATAAATCTTGAAATGATGCACGATCAACCAATTTTTATATACAGGGTGGTCCTCAAACAACAACTTGATATTTTAAATAATTGCACCTTTAAAAATTTTACGCCAATGGCAGAAAAGGGGTTTGAGTATGAAATTTGGATTGGGTACTCATTTACTACAAAAAAGTACCCTTGATAACACTCGATTTGATCTCATGGTTTTGACAAAGTTTGTATTTTAATAATTATTGTTCATGTTCTGAAATTACTAAAATGCAAATTTCGTCAAAATTGCAATTATTTAAAAAATCAAGTTCTAGGCCTATGTATTATTATCGGACAAAATTTTAACACCATTTTTTTGCCACAGAAAACTCTATCAATATACCAAATTTCAGCAGAATCGCATATGCCGTTTCAAATTTATATGGGAAAAACGATTTAAAAATTGTAACTTCGAGGCCCTCTGGAGCCCAAACGATGCAACTTTGTACTGAGGTAATTTTACTCAAATCGACTTATTTTGGTCTAGGTAATATGTGGTATGTTTTTGTAAAGGCCTTTTACAGACACCCTGTATAACCAATTATTTAGAGTTCCATTGCTTCAAATCAAAACAAGATATAATTAGTATGAGTCAAGTGGTGATTCATTAGCAAATCAAAAATGTAATGAGATTGAAAACAGAGAGTTATTGAACCTAAATAATTTTAGTATCCTATTATTATATCAGCAAAAAATATCAAGAGATGACTAATACATTCCATCTAGTTACTTTTGTCAACAATAATAAGTTCAATTATCATGTTCTTGTGACATCTGCTGTAAATCAAATATAAGCATCCTTGCACTTGACATAGGAATGCAATGCAAGAAGCTATGACCTTGAGAAAAGCTGTGGACTAGGTCAGGTTAACAAATATTGTTGAAACCAATTTTGAAACCGGTTGAAACATTAAAACCAATTCTTTCAATAAGTCATTCTGGAAATATTGCAAAGTAGTTATTAGGTATAGACTCCTGTATAGATCAACCAAATGAAACTTGATATGATACAAACAAATGAGTCCTCTTGGTAATAATTTGTGAAATTATGAAAATGTATAATCTGTGACTTCTTCCTTGACCTTTGCAGTTCTTCTACTCAACACCAACTCAAAATTCACAAACCCACCATTTTCTTTAATTTAAATTTCTATTTCATGAACCAGTTCAACAATAAATATATTATTAAAACTACTGAAAAATCAAAATGCAACTATGTTTGTGAAAAGCTATAACAATTCCTTCAAATAGGGATCAAAGGTAGGAAAGCATACAACTCATATAATATACAAGTATGGGAATTTGAAGACACCTACAGGAAAAATAAAAATAACAGAACCTGAAAATCAATGACTTCTTGAACCCTACTTAGAGCTATTATTAATAAGATATTACTGCATATATTATGAATAAAACTTCAAACACCTGCAAAACAAATAGATAATGGAAATGGCAGTTTTCATCTGTTTCTTTGTACATATCTCACATGGAAGTAAATGATAATATACCAAATTGAGATTTAAATCTTTTTGAATTCTATGAAGGAGGATATAGCAAAGTTATGTACCTATACAGGGATGTCCAGATTTGTATACATTCATAGACAGAGGTGATATACAGCTCTGAATTCCCTCAACTGAATTTTACCTGTAATGCAGTGCCAAATTTGAAAGGAGCTGCTTTAATGCCCTGTATTAAAGTTGTAGTGCATATTTGAAGCTCAATTATGTTCTACTTAAGTAGGTACTGACCTACATACCAATAATGAATTTCAGACTTTACAATGGGATATTTCCTGATATTTCTGAACAGTTTTAGTCATTTAAATATGATTACCCAACACCTGAGTATTAATAAAGAAGGAAGATCTTACCTTTTTTCCTTCCATTGAATATACATTTCTAACCCCACTGGGCAGTGTCACACTTCTAGTCAGGATACTTGTGAGTTCTGCAGTGAGACTATCAAAGGATCTGTACCTTTCTGGAGCCACTGGGATAACAATACCATTGAAAAATTTATTGCCATTATGGTAAAATCTAATTCTTTTCGCCTTATGAGTTCTTGAAGTAGAGGAAGGTCTATTATTTTTTGTAGCAATGTTTATATCCTCCAGTCCACTTTCTATGATTTCACCTTCAGACAGGAAGCTGTTGAAACTGTTTGAAGACACACTCCTGGAGCCGTTCAAGTTATTTTTTGACATTTTCTGTGTTGTTAAATAAACATTCACACAAACATTTTCTTATTATTTTCCAACTACTTTTCAATACAGGTACCGCCTATTAGTCACCCAGCTGTCAATGTTGCACATAATAATTTATAAGTACTTTCCAGAACATGAAATACAATGGTATAATATCACTAGAGGAAAAAATTAGTATAACGCACCACTGGAGCGATAAGAAAACTGCCGAAAAAAGAAAAATATTTTTAAAATAACTGTTTACTAAAAGAGAAAAGGTATTAACCTCTTTTCGGCTAGTGGGAGGGATGAGAATTTGTTGACAAGATACAAGATACTGAATGTTTGACTTTGACTCGAATGTCAAATGTTTGACTTGGTTTGACTGTTGACAGGTTTGACTTCACACCACGAAACGAAGCGGTAAAGATCTATAAAGTCTAAATGTTCTATAGACAATGGAAACAATGGCAATGGCCTCTCGTGGTAAGCAGATGAACTTGGCTTATCGCCTTATAGAACAGAGACCCATAGCACAGTTGGCCTTAGAAAGAATAGAAAGAAATAAAGGAAGAAGAGAAGAAGCGACTGAAGCGAGTGCAAAAAAGTTCTAAAAATGTTGATTTGATGTTCTGAACTTAATTTAATTTTGAATTCCGATTTTACTCAAAAAAAAGACTGTACAATGGTCAGAAAACTAAAATATCATGAACAAAAACTCCTCAAGAAGGTTGATTTCATCTCTTGGGAAGTGGATAATAATCTACATGAAGTGAAAGTACTGAAAAAATATCACATTCAAAAACGTGAAGATTATACAAAGTTGGTATCCTGATGGATAGGTTCAAAATGTGTTATAGAATGATTTCTTTCCAGGTATAATAAACTAGCAAGAAATATAAGAGAAGTAGCTAGAAAAATCAAGGAAGTCGATCCCAGCCACCAATTTAGAACTGATAGCAGTGCTCAATTGTTGGAGAAGTTGTGAGTATAAACAGGAACTATTTTTTATTTAAATGAATTTTTATTTGAATTGACTGGACATTCAATATTTCGTCATTATTGCTTTGTGATTTGTATTTTACAATTATTAATGTCTGATTTCAGGAATATTCTGATGTAAATCAGTGACTACCTATAATAAATTATTAATTTGAATTTTTCACTGGTCTCAGTTATTTCTTTCCAAGCTGAATATAAGAAGTAATAAAAATTATCTAAAATTCATATGACTATGAGGAAGGTTGAATGAATATCTTCATGAAATAGGATTGTATCAAAGAGATAATTTGTTTTATAATGGTACTTTGTTGTATACAGATGAAGCAGTTGTGTTGGTGCCTTTTTTAGTCAATATTCCATTTTATTTTATGTATTGAATTTTAAACTTGATTTAATCAAACAGATATTTAATATTCTGTTGTAGATATCTCATGGGTTTGATTCCAACTAGATGGGACCTGAGCTTAGCAGAAAAAGTAACAGCTTCTTGTTTTTGCAGAAGGCGCCTGTCAGTTGTTATGGTCAGAAGTAAGAGCTTAAATAACTCTTGAACTAAAAGCTTTAGGTATTTCCAATTAAATTTTTCTAGATAAAATGTCTGAAACAATTAAAGGGGCAACAAAATTGATAGAACAGGGACACATAAGAGTGGGGCCAGAGTTGATCAAAGACCCAGCATTTCTGGTTACAAGAACTTTAGAAGATTTTGTTACTTGGGTTGATGGGTCCAAGATTAGACAACACATTTTGGAATATAATGGACTGGTGAGATACATTATCAATACCTACTTACTTCATTCAATAGAAGAAACAAATAGAATGAGAAAGTTTCACTTATATTGCAGTATTTGTATGGAAGGACTAAAATACAGAAAACAGCAAAAAAATGATTATTGACATTGAAATACAATATTCTCTCATGTTTTTGATATTCCAGGGTAAAATAATTCATAGGAATTTTCAGATTTCCAGAATGTCATTTGTTTTGTCACTGATTATACCGGGTGTCAACGAATCTATTAGACAAGTCATAACTTCTAGACTATTAGGTGTATCAAAATGAGATTTGGTATAGGTAAATGGTATGTGAAGAGGAAAGTTTTCACATATTTTTCACTTTCCGGTCACTTCCGGTTTCACCGAAAATGGCTCCGGTTCTAAATTTTTAAATGGAACACCCTGTATATTGTAACATTTTTGGATTTATGAAGCAGTTCTAGATCAGAATGTGACATTTTCAAAAGTTTTTATGCCTAGTCAATTTTTTCGGAGTCACTTTTGAAATTACATCTAGGTGGCCATGATTTGAAGTTAACTAATCTAAGGACCTCAGGTGATATCAGAAAATTACAATCGCAAAGTTTTAGTGACATTTATGATAGATATGAATAAGACAAGTTGGCAAAATTACATTTTCCTGTCTAACTGTTATTTTTCAAATGGCGACCATTTTTTGACAAGCACCTTCTGAAAAAAAGATATTTTGACGAATCTAACGATACTGATTTATTTGCGATTGGATTACAAATAAGAACATGAATTAAATATCACTGACGAAAATAGTTCATAATAATTTATTTACTTTTGTCAAGTGTGCCGAGGATAGGCATGATGCATAATATTTTGCAGTTATTTCAATCAAGTCTTCTTGGGAGAAGAATAAAACACTCACTTAGGTTATGACAGTGAACTAAGCTTCAAGTGCAGAAGGTAAAATTTTCTTGATTTTCGTTCAATTTTAGTTTAATTTTTCGTCAAAATATTGTATATGCAAAGTGAAAAAGTGGATATTATTATGTTGTTATTGTTTGGAGAATGTCACAGAAATTCAAGGAATGCTGCTGAGTTGTATGCTTATGCTCAAAGATATCCCAATCGGCAACATCCATTCCATCAGTATTTTCGGTATGTTGAGAGAAGGATGTGGAGAGAAACAATAGGCCTTTTCATTCAGATATATTTTTGAAACGCATGCGCTCGTTTTTAGATCCAAAATTTAATTGGGTAATGCGAAGGTGAAGTCTCATTGGCTATAGCTCCAACACAAAATTCTGATTGGTCATTTCGAATATGGCGGTTATTATTGACGTAAAAACGTTACTTATTCCTGACAGGAGTGTGGTGCAAGCATATATCTACTATTTCTATATATGGCGCATCGCCTATACAATATCTCAACAAAAATGTGACCAGAATGAGGGGTACTTTCTGAATCTATAAGAAGGGAAAGTGCAGGATGGGAACTGCTGACGTGATGATCAGATTTCAAGTTAGGTAAGGTTCGTAAATAATTATTTGGTCATAATAAAATATTAAAAATCATCAATTATTGTTGATAATACCACAAAATAGTACCTTCGTGCAGGTCAATATATAAACAAGAAAATTTGAAAATTCAAACTTATGAAAAGAGGATTCCTGTCTATTCTTTATTTAATAATCTTAATCTTAATAATCTAGACATGGTTAAAAAAGTTCAGTCCATGAAAAATAAACAAAGACACAAACACTAAAGAAACTGACAACTAAAAACGCAAATATTCGAATTTCAATCAAAAAATTTTAAATTCGTAGCCATATTGGTTTAACAAGTTTCGTATTATTTTTTTCCCTACGTCGGCATCAACGCCTATTGGTCAATTTCATTACCTATAGAGACAGAAGTTGGTCCCGCTTTGGGGACAGCTATGCTTCATATGTAGAGTAGTAGATGTATGGGTGCAAGAAAGGTGGATATATGTATGGTGAAATAGCTCCCTCTTACAAAACCCTAGAAATTTTTGTAGACCTCTGGCCTACTTGATTATGTCGAATTCTATCACCGTAGTAAGGCCGCGCAAAACTAACGCTAGATGGCGCTGTCCCCGAAGTGATCTTGCTACACAATGGTTGTATTGTTTTGTTGTTTACATTTACGTATATTAATTCGTAATTTAAAAACATTGAGAAAAAGTGATTGATTTAATGAAAAAGACGTGAAATTTTCATTATATCTGTAAAGTATATGTGGCACGATGTTCCCTACGCCATCTACAGTCAATCCGGTGCGGCCTTGCTACGGTGTTTCGTGGTCTACACGTTTTGGAAAGAAACAATTGACAAGTGGTTACACCAGTCTATTTTCATCATGGGTGCAAGTGTTTTGGAGAAAATGGCCGCCACTGTCGTTGGATGAAAGATGTAAACAGAGATAGTCATTTGTCATCTAAATGAAAAGGCCTATTGAACGAGCTGAAATGTGTCTTGAACAAGGAGGAATGCACTTTGAAAATTAACTATAGTGAAAATTTCAAGTGCATCGCTGAAGTTATTGTTAATTTTGTTAAATTTGTTGATCCAATCGCAAATAAATTAGTATCGTTAGATTCGTCAAAATATCCTTTTCTCGGGAAGTGCTTGTCATAAAATGGTCGCCATTTGAACAATAATAGTTAGACACAAAAATCTATTTGTGCCAACTTGTCTTATTCATATCTATCATACTTGTCACTTGTCACTAAAACTTCGCGATTGTAATTTTCTGACATCACCTGAGGTCCTTAGATTAGTTTAGTTCCGATCATGGCCACCTAGATGTAATTTCGAAAGTGACTCCGAAAAAATTAAGTAGGCATAAAAACTTTCGAAAATGACACATTCTGATCTAGAATTGTCTCATAAATCCAAAAATGTTACAATATACAGGGTGTTCCATTTAAAAATTTAGAACCGGAGCCATTTCCGGTGAAACCGGAAGTGACCGGGAAGTGAAAAATATGTGAAAACTCTCCTCTTCACATACAATTTACCTAAACGAAATTTCATTTTGATACACCTAATGGTCTAGAAGTTATGGCTTGTCTAATAGATTCGTTGACACCCGGTATGTATAAATGTACCTATTCAAATATTCTAATGTTCTGTTTCTTGTGAACCTGTGTTTTTGCTGGTTATTAATGAAAGATGATATAATTATTAAAAACAAAAATGAAAGATGATGAAAATAATTTGATTAGTCAAAAGGATTTTCTTGACTTTACTAATTGTAAATATGTTTTCAGAGAGATGATTTTGCTATCTGACTCCATAACAATGAAGCACGGTATATGAAATATTGTGGGATTATTATGAAAAACTGTTTTGTAATAAAAATATAATAAAAATAAATTATTTAAATATTATCACAATTTCAAATATAACTTGACATTGTTCCTCCTAATACATCATATCATTATTTTCACAATTATCATATTTCATGATGCAGCTACTTCTAACATTTTACTGATATCAATGATTTTCTCCCTGGGCTTTCCAAGTTTAGCACCCTCAGCTTGTTCATATTTATCTATTTTTTGCCAGTCCCCCCAACTAACCACTTGCATATTTTGGATTTTTAAATTATTTTCAATTTCCTGGAATCCACCTTTTTCCACATCCAATAACTTTTCCTTCACCATGTCCTCCACAATAATATTTGCTACCTCAAAAGCATTGCCCATAGTGCTGAGAATTACTCCTGTGGGGCCAGTTCCTAACCAGCCTGAAACATATAGAAAAACAAACATGAAGAAGGGTCTGTTTTGTAAATACGTTTTGATTTGAGCAAAACAATCAGATAATCTTCCATTTCCACTCATGAAACAAGGTTGTCTAGTCATCAAAGAGATATTAGACTTCTGTCGTTGAATAAAACATAATAGGAGGAACCCAAATGATATTATAGTTCATTCTTAACTTTTTCGGGCAACCAGCATGTCCAAATATGTAAATGTTGGAGACTTGGCAACATTGTGCTGAATGCTGAGAAGGGACAAAACCACGCCCACAAGTCGAGCGCGCGGTGTTGTCACGTTCACCACTTCAAGTGTCCTCTAGTGTGAATTAATATAATTACTATTTACACAAATAAGCAATAAGCCACAAATCATAAGGGGACATTTTGAGACAATTGATTTTCACTTGATACCTACTACTGTGAGTTTCATTTGGAATTTGGTGTTACTGGGATATTACATGTGGTGTACCACAAGAGTCAACGAATCACTATCGGCTACATTCAATGATACTATCCTTCCTAATTTACTGCCATCGGTCAGAACAGAATGAAGCCGACATCCATGGCTCCTTTCTATTGTTGTGCCTGTCAGTATTTTGAATGGTGTGAACGGACTCGAAGTATTCGCGATAGAAAATAAGCGTACGCCACCTATCGGAGTTCTTGAAAACTGTCAACGTGGCCTTTTCAGTTTGTTTTTATTGGTTCACATTTGTTTTTTGTTGTGCTTATCGGTAATATCATCAAAACAAACCCCTCAGAAGTGTTCAACTTGTTGCCATCAGGGGCCTTATTTTTGAATCGAGAGAACAATTCCCTCGAGGGAATGCTTGGTATAAAATAATTACAATTTCACTTTCCACTGCTTTCTTCGGTGGATAATGAGAGAAGATATAACAGCATACCTGTTTCTCTTGCTATCTATCGAGAGAAACAGCGGGGAACGGAATAATTCGTTACTAAAGTGAGGGACACGCCCACTGTTCTCTCGGCAGACTAGTACACTCTATTCAAAAATAAGGCCCCAGGTGGGGCGACGTGTTATTTTCTATCGCGAATTAGGCGCTGTTGCATGATATAATCTGCAACTTTCCTAGAAAATAGACCCGTTTTATTAAGGAACGAATTCATAAGCAAAAAAATAACTGACAAGTCATGAATAACATATTGTAATATAACGATAGTGAAAAATCATAATTTATCGATATTAGTAATCAACTTCATTTAGCCAATGAGAGATTTATGGGAATTATTCATGATACTTGACAAAGTAGGATTGAAGAACCTATTACATCCCATATTGATGTTATGATATAGTTATTATGCATTCAAACAACAATTTCCGGAAATCTAGACATATTGATAATGTCGGCAACGTCGTACTGGCACAGAAAATTGTATTTTCGCTCTGTGTGAATGTGGGTTTTCAGAAAATACGTCATAGGAATGGTGGAGGAGCCAAGTTCCCCTTTTATTTTTTTTTTGAAGTAAAATTTCAAAATTTGATCTTACGAAAAAAAGAAAAAATACATATACATTAATTTTTCATAAACTTCACAATGAAATAAAAACCTCAATATAGGAAACTTCCCCAACTCCTTACCAAATGAGTTGAAGAGTTGAAAAATATAAAAGAAGCAGAATGATTTAAAATCAATTTGAAGAAATATTTGCTCAGTAAACTTCAATTCCATATCTACTAATCATTCATGATTTGATTACTTGGAATGGATTATAATATTTTCATTCTATATTATATTCATTTTTTAATAAAAAACAATAATTGTCCGGCAATTATTATTGTTCTGATTAATTAATCAGAAAAAAGTTGCAGAATGTGAATTAAAAAAAAAACATTCACCTGAAACATACAAGCCCTTATCCACTCTGGACCTGAGATGTTTTATTATGCCTCGTTTGTCATCAAATGGTAGAACTTCATCAGCTTGTCTCGCCTTGTATCCAATACTAGGAATGACCAGATCACAGTTCAAAGTCTCTTGAACACCTGTTGGCACGGCAGTTTGTTTTAAAAAATCGTCACCGACAAGTTCATTCTGCCCCAAAATGACGCTTTTCACCTTATTTTCCCCGACTATTTCCAAAGGAGATCGAAAGAAAATCGGCCTAAATTCCTTGTCCTTTCCAGATGATTGTCTTTCTTCAACTGACTTCAACATGAGCTCTGTGATACGCTTTTTGGGTCTGGCTAGTTGGGGTAAGTGATCAGAAATTCCTTCAAAATCTGCAGGTCGCCAAACTGTTGTGCAGCCTGGCAATTTCAGCATTTCTCTGAGTTCTTTTATGGTGAAGGCTGCCTGAAGGGGCCCCCTTCGCCCTATCAAGTAAACTGTCTTTGTTTTTGAAGTTGAGATGGCATCTAAGGCATGCTGAGTTATGTCTGTTTTCTGTAATGAGCATTTATTGATTCCAATTTAAACAGGATGAATCAGGGCAAGACTGACTAATTTCAAATTTTTCACTTTACTTAAAGTTAAAACTTTCTTGATGAAGGGGGTTTCTGAAGTTTATATGTTTAAGGCCATGAGATGTTAAGGCCATGTCTCATGGCCCAACAATTTCGTCAAATTTGTTTGTTGTGACGTAACATTTTCTTCATAAAGTTGAATAATTATTATTATTATATATCCCACGAATATCACAGGTACGGCGACCACATCATCGATGTCGCAGTGTGATGTATTTGTAATATGAAATGTACACTCTTGTATGTGACCTGGTAGTGATTTTTCATGTGATGTCGCATTTCATGTCTGAACGACGTCACAGTGATGTTGCTTGAGTCGGACATTTTCACATCGCCACGTTGTATCAGTAACACATTGTGACTTCAAATGCGATATCGCATGTCACAAAGTGATGTGGCGTATACATCACTTATACATCTCATGGTTGGCTGGGAAGTAGATAAAACACTATTTATTTTTCCACGAAATTGAATCAATTGATTGCATTTCTATTTCATTTCACCAATTTATAATAATTGAAAAATTTTCGAAACGATTAAATAACCTCAAAATTGAATTCAAAGTTTTTATAATTTTCACTCAGTAAATGTGAATACTGATCAGTTTTATTAAGAAAAATGAATTCAAGCCATAATGATTGTGTATTGGAAAATAAGTTATTTTTGAAGTTAATATCTGTAATTGTTTGTTGATGTTGTTATATAATAAATCATCCTTCAAGTTATTATTCTTTATAAGAATTTCATTAGCTTTAAATTTCATATTCAGTATATTGTTCAGGTTCCTGGTTCTTCAAATACAAATATGGAAGTTCATTTATCAACTTCGAGTGCTGATTTTGAAACATAAATGAACGGCTTTTGAGTTGGTTGCAAAAAAAACATTCAACGCCCGACGATCGTAACACTAGACATATCCATATTCGGGCGGTTGGTCATTCTCTTTCAACTGGCAACACTGTATGTGTTGACACATTGACGTCACTATCAACTTAGTGTGAAAGCCCTTTATTGGCATTGTTATTATTTCATTGATGTGTGGAAGAAATAATATTTGATATTTGTCATCATGAGTTTATTCAGAGAGAGAAATGTAATTTTCTTGAACTTCATAGTTTCTTATTTTCTTAGCAAAAAGGTTTCTTCAATCAATTGGCTAACCAAAACATTTGCTTGATCATCAAATCTAGTACCTATACCTACCTAGCTATCAATTGAAATCATAATCATATAGCAAGGATATCTGTAGATATATAAACATGATATTGCATGGATGCAAGATTATAACATTGTCTTGTTAAAGTGGGGGAAAGGTACATGTTCATCTTGCTAAATATTTATTTACCCTTAATTCATCTATTGGTGACAGTAGGATCCTAGCAACATCTATTGCTACATTTCCTTGTCCAAATATAACAGCAGTATCTCCACTCAGGTCTATTTGCAAGTTTGCATCCCAAGGAGTACCATTATACCAACCTACTATATTCCTTGCTTCAATGCAATTTGGAAAATTTTCTCCTGGGATGCCAAGTTTTCGGCTTTGATCAGCCCCATAAGTCTGAAATGGTAAACAAATAACCACCAAGGGACACCCATAGAGCCAATGAAAAGAAATAGTGGATACTTTAGTGGAAATATACTAGCTTCTGCATACTCATAAATTGATTCCTTCTTACTTACTAGTAATATTATGTGATAAGCCTGTTTCAGTTGTTCCAAAGTGACATCAGTACCCAAATTGACATTCCCAACAAATCTAACATTGGGATGTTGTGCAGTCTTGGTAAAAGTATTAATAACATTTTTAACTTCCGGATGATCAGGTGCTACACCAAATCTACAGATGAATACATATATTTTTTAATTCAATAGATCCAGGTGGTATGTATACAATACCTTACTAAACCAAAAGGTACAGGTAGTCTCTCATAAATGTCTATCTGAATTGGATCTAATTTTTTCAGTAGATGTTGTGCTGCATAAAAACCTGCAGGACCAGACCCAACTATACAAATTTTCGGTTTGATTGATATCTGTGCTGAAAATAATCTCTTTATCATATGGAACTTTTTCATTATTTTTTAAACAGCAGACTGTGGGAAAAGTTGGTTAGGTTTTAGGTTATGTAGGTTTTGTTAATCTTCTTCTTCTTCTTCCCTTCACTGAATGGCCTTAGCTGCCTGGGCTATGGGGATCCACTTCACAGTGAGACTGAAAGTTTTTCTCTGTGAAGTGTGAAGTTATTCAGTGAATTTCAAAAATCGATTCAGCAACATTAAACCATGATGCAGGCAGGCTCACGTTTCCAGAAAGTTGGTAGGTTAATTGATTTAATTTATTACCCAAGAAACATAATTATTTGTTTATAAGTGATTCTTACTCTTTCATCTTGGAATGTCCATGTTGATGTGTGCTCTGAGGAGATGATGGTTTGGAAATGTTCAACTTTCACAATGTTTTTCAAAATATCGATTCTTGCTTCCAACGAATCATATTTTTTGCTATTTTCATCAAATTTAACGATCAGAATTTCGCACAATTCTTCAAGTATATCGATCTTCTTTATAAAAATAGTATTCGAAACATCATTTGGTATGATTCTTGATGAAATCTCTGAAAGAATGCTCCTGTTGTCGGCTCCGTGGAATTGGTCTTTATAAGTTTTTTTAATGTACTCTGTCAGCATTTCCTTCATATCCGAAAATTCCATCGCATCACTAATAACATGTATGTTGAAATGTCTTAAAATTTGTATGATCTCGCCTTCGCTATACTAACACGTCGGTGTCACCAAAAATGTCACATCAATGTCAAATCCTCGGTCAAATCATAATATACCAAGTACCTATATAACATAACTAGTCACCATAATTAAGTATACTCTCTGGTCAGTTCACTTTGTGAATCTTCTGTTCGGTTCATGGACTGATGCATGGATGGTTTTCTCCGATTGAGTGGCAAGTATCAAATACTGCTTCTCTGATCTGCAACAGAACATCACATATCAATCGAAGTACATTATTCATATCATAAAATAAATATCATTAGATGAATTACATGGATGTTGAATCTGAGACATACCTGAATAATATATTCAACGTCCGTAACTGGATTGCTACATATCCGCTTCCTTTCCGAATAGTGTTTTTTCCAGTACCTAGGCATCTTCCACATTTTCAATTACTTACGTGGGTTAAATTAAGGACCTTGAAGGCCAAACGATGTGCTGCTCGGATCTAAAACTAAGGATCAATTTCAAATTTGAATCGTGAGACCTACATAGAATATTGGATATTGTTTTCAATATTCGTAACTGGAACGCGATATATTTTTGTAATTCATCAATTCATCAACTATCTCAATGAAGACGAGACAGGCAGATAAACAACAATTTTCTCTGCAATGAAGAACACCTGTATATACCTAACCCACCATGCGCCTACCTCCTTTGCAGAGAGGGTTTATAAACGTCGAGTTGATACTCTCCCCTCGTAAGGGTACCTGTCGTGTTTCCATAGAGACATAAAATTGAATATCTGTCTTATCTGTTTTCTTGAGAAACTGGAAAGGATATCAATATATTGCCTTCCGTACGAATATAATCTGAATTCTGTAAAGTATACTGTGGTCAGGTCTTTTTGCGGATCTTCTGGTCGGTTCGTCTTGACTGGGTGGTTTTCTCCAATTGAGTGACAAGTATCAAACACTGCTTTTCTGATCTGCAACGAAACATCACATATTAATCGAAGTACATTTAAATCAGAAAATAAATATCATCAGATGAAGTACATGGATGTTGAATCAGAGACATACCTGAATGATATTTTCATCGTCTGTAACTGGATTGCTACATATCCGTTTCCTTTTCGTATAGTGGTTTTTCCAGTAGGCATCTTCCACATGTTCAATTACGAGGGTTATATTAAGGACCTTGAAGGCCAAACAATGTGCTTCTCAGATCTAAAACTAAGTATCAATTTCAAATTTTAGAATATGAATCTATGAAAAGTCTTAATATTGTTTTCAACATTCATGACTAGAACGCGATATATTTTTGTAATTCATCAATTCATCAACTATCTCAATGAAGACGAGACAGGCAGATAAACAAAAATTTTCTCTGCAATGAAGAACACTGTATATACCTAACCCACCATGCGCCTACCTCCTTTGCAGAGAGGGTTTATAAACGCCAAGTTGATACTCTCCCCTCGTAAGGGTACCTGTCGTGTTTCCATAGAGACATAAAGGTGAATATCTGTCTATCTGTCTGCTTTGAGAATCTGGAAAGGTAATCAATATATCGCCTTCCGTACGAATATAATGATCTAAATTCTGTAAATTATACTCTGGTCAGTTCTCTTTGCGGATCTTCTGTTCGGTCCGTATTTACTGGATGGTTTTCTCCGATTGAGTGGCAATAAGTATCAAACTCTGCTTCTTGGATCTGCAACGAAACATCACCTTTAAATCGAAGTACATCTGAATCAGAAAATATCATTAGAGGAAATACATAGATGTTGAATCTGAGACATACCTGAATAATATTTTCAACGTCCGTGACTAGATTGCTACATATCCGCTTTATTTCCGTGTAGTGGTTTTTCCAGTAGGCATCTTCCACATGTTCAATTACGAGGGTTATATTAAGGACCTTGAAGGCCAAACAATGTGCTGCTCAGATCTAAAACTGAGTATCAATTTCAAATTTGAATCTTGAGACCTACATAGAATATGAATCTATGAAGGGTCTGGATATTGTTTTCAACATTCATAACTGGAACGCGATATATTTTTGTAATTCATCAATTCATCAACTATCTCAATGAAGACGAGGCAGGCAGATAAACAACACTTTCTCCTGCAATGATACTGCAATACTGCAAAAATAATCTTTCATTTCCACTCATGAAGCAACGTTGTCAAGTCACCAATTATAATCAATTTATTATATATAAAGATTAGAGTCCTGTCGTTGAATAAAACACGAGATAAAACATAATAAGAGTAAGTCATGATATTATATATCATTCTTGACTTTTTCGAGCAACCAGCATGTCTGTATATCTCTTGTACCCTATAACAAAATATCATGTTGATGTTGGAGACTTGGCAACAATGTGCTGAATGCTGAGAACTGTCAAAACACCGCCCACAATTCGTTCGCCGGGTTGTCACGTTTACCCTCAAATATCCTCTAGTTTGAATAAATATAATAATATTAAAATATTAACACAAATGTATTATAAACAATAAGCCACAACTGATGAGGGAATATTTTGAGACAATTGATTTTTATGTCTAATTAGGAATATAACCAATACAAAATTGAGAATTTATGAATTATTGAATATCTGATATTTCCTTAGTTCCAATCGTATTTCAACATATGGCAACTGTGCTATGGTCTGTCCCTAGTTTCGAAATCGTGACGTCAGTTTTTACTCGCGGTAAATTTTTAGCCGTTTGAAAATCACCGTGGCATTATTGGATCTCAGCACCTCAAAATCGAATGAATAATTCTAAAAATATATGAAATTGAAAGTTATTTGAGTGATGATTCTATCTAAGAAATAAAAAAAATTAGTCAACTCGCCTATTTAATTTTTGTGGATGGTTCCATGGCTGGTAGCAAGCAGTGTATATCACTGAAGATAACTCCAATTGGTCATATTGTGTACTTTCAGTATATATCTACCGTTCCTGCAAATTTCAGAATCCTAACTTGACAAATACGAAAGATACAGGGATGCTTCCTTTAAAAGTGAGACACACTGTGCAATGTTCATCTTGAGTCAATTCTGATCTTCATATCTCTTCATCTTCAAAATGAGCCTGAGATTTTAAAAATCAATTCTGATCTTCATATCTCTTCATCTTCAAAATGAGCCTGAGATTTTGAAAATCGGTTGGGAAGGAAAAAAGTTATGACTGCAAATTCAAAAAGTTAATTTTTCGATATCTCTCTGTAAATAAAAGGGATAATAAGACAATTCGAAAAATGTCTCAAGGTAATCTGCTGTCAAAGTTGAAAAAAAAGTTCTCGTTCATTTTCTGATATTTTTCCCGTGTATAATACACTATTTTTTTCTGTGACAGAAGAAAGGACGAATCAATATTGAGAAGATATTACATTATTTTGAAATCTGAAAATTATCAACGTGAAATTTTAAGTTTTTAACAGTAGGGACACCTGCAGTGTAGGCATCTTTATCATTCTTTTCAAGTAATCAAATATCTGATATCACTTCTGCCAGTCTAATTCTGTGATTTGATTTCAAAGAATTGCGAATTTAGTGGTTGTTCAGTAATATACGCAACCTCGAAGTCGAATGGAAGATGAAAGGGCTTGCAGTTCTTTCTCGTAGACGTTATTATTGACTCATTTTTCGGAACTATAGCACAACAAAATATCTGATGTCACTTTTGTCAGTTTAATTCTGTGATTTCATTTCAAAAAATTGCGAATTTAGTGGTTGTTTAGTAATATACGTAACCGCGAGGTCGAATGGAAGATAAAAGGACTTGCAGTTCTTTCTTAGAGACGGTATTATTGACTCATTTTTCGGAACTATAGCACTCGCTATAGCACAACAAAAGCCATCAACAGTGTATATATATGTGATATATATCCGGGAAAAAAGTACTCACTTTTTTTCCACGGGAAAAAAGTAATTTGTGAAAAGTGACATTTTATAACCTGCCAATAGAGATGAAATGCCAAACTTTTTTTCCGTCACAGAAAAAATATAATATACCATAGGAAATTATACAATTAGTACAGGGTATTTTGAGACAAATTTCCAATCTGAGTATATGGATAATAATAAGAGTTTGACAATTCGTGTGACCACTTCAAATAAATTTTGACGACTTCGGAAATTTCTCTGTGAAAATTAGCAGTTGCGGTACCTAGCCTAGCACAGTCAGCGATAGGCTTTACAAATTTTTCTCGGGTTTGTTGTAATCGCACACATTTATCACAAAAAATACGTATATGTATATGAAAATGAATCAAACGAGTACCTACTCTAAGATTTCTAGATGTATCGAGTACGAGTGGTATCGGCTCAAAATAACTACCTCAGTTTCTAGGGAACACTCAGTTTGGAACGATAAATA